GTGCCTTAGGCACTATGCTACCAGAGCTCCTAAGTAGGTGAGATGAAGTTTGGCCATTCTCACTTCCAAGGAACATTCTGGCTGTACTTCTTCCAGAACAAATCTGTTAGTTCTACTGGCAGTCCATGGTAGTACTTTCAGTATTCTTCGTCAACACCACAACTCAAAGGCATCAACTCTTCTTCGGTCTTACTTATTCATTGTCCAGCTTTTACATGCATACAAGGTTATTGAAAATACCATGGCGTGGGTTAGGCGCACCTTAGTCTTCAGAGAGACGTCTTTGCTCTTCAGCACTTTAAAGAGGTCTTTTACAGCAGATTTGCCTGGTGCAATATGTCGTCTGATCTTCTGCCCCTAGGAGGTCTCATTTTAAGCCTAACAGAATGACAAAACCGACCAGTCCTCACATTGGAGTTCCATAACCCTTATTTGCATGGTCCCACCCAGTAATCTGGTGGGAGTCCCAGAAACCATGGCTAGAAAATCCATACTAAATAATTTACTGTACCACAGTTTCCAAGGCGACAAATCTTTAAGGGAGTAGGTTGCTCCATCTTCCTACTGTGGAGCAGCTGGTGGGTTTGAACCACCAACCTTCTGGTTAGCAGTCAAATGCCTCACACACTGCACTACCAGAAATCTTGGAAGTGGATGTGCAGTCCATGGAAGTGGCATATTGACTACACTCTAAAATTTTTGGTTGCGTGCCTTTATAACCCCTGACATATTGGCAGCATTGTCACAGGACTGGGCTCTGCGCTTTGTTGTTGTTGTTAGATGCCACGGAGTCAGTTCCAACTCACAGCGACCACGTGCAGAGCACAACGAAACGCTCCCTGGTCCTGCACCATCCTCACAATTGCTGCTGTTCTGGAGCCCATCGTTGCCACCACCGTGTCAAGCAGCCTCTCCAAGGGTCTTCCTCTTTTTCACTGACCTACTTCACCAAACATGATGTCCTTCTCCAGGGAGTGGTATCCCCAGTAACATGTCAGTACAGGAGGTGAGGTTTCGCCATCTTTACCTCTGAGGACCATTCCAGCTGCACTTCCTCTAAGACAGATTTGTTTATTCTTCTAGTAGCCCATGGTACATTCAATATTCTTCACTAACGCCACAATTCAAATGCATCACTTCTTCATTGTGCCTTATTCACTGTTCAGCTCTCACATGCGTATGAGGCAATTGAATATACTATGGCTAGGTCAGGCGCACTTTAGTCTTCAAAGTGACAACTCTGCTCTTAGAAAAATAAATGTTTCAAGCTTCACATAGTGATGTACTTATTTGCAATTTCTTCCCTGGTATGACTTTTTTAGCTACTGAATGTGATAAACAGCTTAACAGGTTTCCCATCTGTTGGAGACATGAATTTTAAAAGTAACATTTAGCTGATCTGTATGACAAAAATCAGGAGTGGAATCTACAGACACACTGAAATACTGAGCTATACTTATTTCACTGAAAAGAGTTGATCAAACTGTATCTCTTACTAAGTTTATTAACTCTTTACTTGTTGTTTTAATGTAAATGATGGGTTGCCCTTTCCTTTGTTAGCATATTTTGAGATGGGAACTGCTAAAAATGGATCAAACTGAGCAACAAGTTCAAGTAAACTCCAAAAAATTTCCATTTTGTGGGGACCCAAACACTTCATTTCTTCCTCAAAAAGATAGTCCACCTTCAGCAGTTGTTATAATGACAGCAACAATACATTGCAAAACAGCTTTCCAGTATTGATGTTCTTCATTTGTGTTCTCACTTCACGAATTAATTAAAAGCCATGTCTTCAGTTTAAATATGACAACACACCATCTCTGTGAATTGAACTCTCTTCATGCTTATTAATCATATACAAGTAGCATCAATAGCTAAATCCATCCATAGCAAATCAAGAATTAAATTATTTAGGTCTGACTAGCTCTGGTAGCATAGTGGCTAAAGCACTTGACTGCTAACCAGAAGGCTGGCGGTTCAAACCCACCAGCCACTCCTCGGAAGGAAGGTTGGGCAATCTACTTCCGTAGTGATACCACCTCGGAAATCCAAGGAGGGGTCGGAAATCCACGGAGGGGTCGCTGTGAGTCAGGTCTGACTTGACAGCACATAACAACAACAACAACAGTTTGCAAACAAAGCAACATACAGAGCCAACTAATGGCAAATACAGTGGCCACTCGGTCTTATAATTTTCACTGTTAACTTTGCACCCTAGAAATATATTCTGGCTACAGAACCTTGTTTGTTTATCATCCAGAGATTTTCGACATGAATTTTCAAATGGTCCACAGTGATGTTAATAATCACTTCGCCCTCCCTCAAGCCAATAATTTACATCATTAGTAGAAAAATTATTCCTGAAAGCAGGATCTGTATTTCAGTTATGTATGCATTTGCAGATGTGACAGTTTCAGATTCTAAAATAGTTTCACTTTCTACACTATTAATTTTTTTTTTTTACTACAGCAATTTACTGCAGAATTTGGGACAAATTCTGTTATTTTCATATGGTAGCATAGTGCCTAAGGCATCTGACTGTTAACTAGAACGTTGGTGGTTCAAACCCACCAGCCACTCCGTGGAAGCAAGACTGAGCAGTCTTCTTCCCTAAACACTTACCATCTCAGAAACCCATTGGGGGTTGCTATGAGTTGGAATTGACTCAGTGGCAGTGGTTGGGGTTTTGGTGTATTAGTAATGTTAGCACTGGCAGTACTAGTACAACAATTTGCATCCATTAAACTCCAGAGTTCAACAGAAGACGTCTCTTCAGAAGACAAATGTAGAAACACCCTCGTTGCAAAATAGTAATGTATTTTGCACTATAAATAAATATTGAATTTTGCATCCTCTTAATGTGCCTACTAGGTGTTCTGGTGGTGCAGTGGTAAAAGCATTCTGCTGCTATCCAGAAGGTTGGTGGTTCAAACCCACCAGCTGCTCCATGGGAGAAAGATGAGGCACGCTGCTTCTGTAAATATTTACAGCCTTGGAAACTGTACAGGGCCATTCTGCTCTGTCCTATAGGGTTGCTGAGAGTTGGAATCGACTTGATGGCAGAGGGTTTGCTTTTTTGAAATGTGCCTAATAACTCATTTTTCAGGATATCTAGAATAGTATCAAGCCCTGTGCCCCATACAACAGAAAATAACACACGAAACTCACTCGATACGTAAATTAAAACTTTGTGTTAGATAAATATTGATGTTTCCAGTATTTCTTGGACATTTGCTATGTTAAAATTATATTACATTATTATCCATGCTAGCATCATATTAAATGTGTCCACATGTATGCCAAATGTATTTTAAAGTTAAAGTTACAGGTATTGGCTATGAAACTTAGGACATAACTCTATATGTAAATGCTAAATAGAGAGAAACTTGACTGAATCATTGCAGTGGTCCACTTACTCCAGTTCCCTCACTCTTGACGTCCTTGGGGACTGGTGTTCCCGTGGGTTCTTTGCCAGATCACGTGCGAGAGCCTGCCCTTGTGTTTGCATCATGGCGGAGAGCATTGCTGGCCATCCCGGCTGCAGCTATTAGATCAGCAGACGTGGATGAACCAGATGGTTCTCTCAGAATGGATCTGTAATCTGTTAACATAACTGGTCCTTGCCCAGTAACCACTCATGTGCGATCCATTTGCATGCTGGGTGAATGTAGCAAGAGTTAGACTTGACCGCCTACCCCCACCTCTTATCTATCAGAAAGAAGTCAGATACTCCCAAGGGACCCATGAAGATAAGGAGTTTCATTTACAGGGGGAGGGGACCTTAGGAGACAGATGTCAGCCAAGGTATTGAAGCAGTAGGGGCCTCTCAGTTTAAACAAACTTGTTGGGGGCACCCTCCTGACCCTGTGTGAACCTTATTTCTGGCCGGCACATTCGCAGTCTCACTGAGTGCCCTTTCACCTGCACTGGCTCTGCCTGGTGTCCTGCTGTCTGCTTGGTGTTGATGGGTCTTTGCTCTGGACAGCAGGGGCCCTGTGTGTTGAAGTCCTAAGCACATGATCCCCTTGCTGACTGAGCAATGCACCCCGGACCAACAGGTCCAGACAGTGTGTCACTTGTCCTGCTGGACGGATTTCCAAGTGTGGGGAGAGTGTGCCCTTCAAACAGCAATCTCGAGGTCTGCCTGGCCTGCGCCCTGGCGGCCTTGTCCACAGCCTGGCGGTCACCCTCACCCCTGCAGGTGCTGTGCCGCTACCAGCACCTGTGGAACGTGGACCTGCAGCTGCGCCCGAGCCTCATTGCGGGGATTATGAAGGACAGCGGTAGGTGGTCAACCTGCGCAGGGAAGAGGCTGCCCCAGGCCCACACTGGGGTCCCCCAGACCCTTAAGTCATCCTCACTAGCCTGTCCCGTGTCCCGCCTGCAGGAAACAAGCCGCCTGCCCTGCTTCCCCGCAAAGCCCAGTACTTGACCAAGGACCTCACCCTCCTCAGGCACCACTTCCAGGTTCCCATCTCTCTCCCCAAGGATTTCTTCTCTGTGATCCTTGAAAAAGGTGATGATGGGGCATATGTGGGGAACAGAGGGGTCGAGAGAGCAGGTCCCCAGAGGTGGGGATTGGGAGGGGGGCTGTGGGACCTCGTGCTGGAGAGCCTTGGGGTCAGAGCTGAGGGGGTGGGAGGCACAAGGAAGGGTGAGCAGGATGCCTGGGGCACCCACAGGGGTCTCTGAGCACCCCCACACGCAGGGAGCCTGTCCGCCATGCGGTTCCTCACAGCCGTGCACCTAGACTGCCCGGAGATGTTGGAGAACGTGTCCCGCGAGCTGTGGATGCGCATCTGGTCGAGGGTGAGCGGGGCTCCTGCCGAGGTGGTGGGCGGCTGGTGGCCTGGGTGACCTCCAACCCTCCCCCCCCAGCTCCTCTGTCACCCGTGAGCTTCCATCCACTCACACCCCTCTGGCACCCCCTTCCTTCCCAGGATGAAGACATCACAGAGCCCCAGAGCATCCTGGCGGTAAGCATTCCTCCCCTCTCCCCACCTACCGCCCCTCACCTCACAGGACAGCTGAGAGGAGCCCATAGCAGCCTTCTCAGGGCAGGGGAGGGGTCACAGTCACTTGGGGAAAATGACTGAAGAGTTGGGACTAAGTGGACCCCAGAAAACATGATGACGAAAAGGAACAAGCATGCAGATGGGCTGTACCTGGTGAAAGATGCCAGTGGGCAGAGATAGTCGGCACTAGGCCCCAGAGCAGAGGGTGAGGTCCAGGCAGGCCCACACAGGCCACCACAGACCTCCCCAGCACACCCACTGAGTACAGATGCCGGAAGACAAGAGCCAGATTGCACAGAGCCTGGGAACCAGTGGAAACAGCCCCAAATGTTGACATCTGTAGGCAAAGACAGCATAAGAAGTAAACGTTTTGCTTGGGTTATCTTCTCAGGAAATGCAGAGCAATGTTTTCCTGCAGCTTCCAAGCTCCGCCTCCTGGCGACGCATGTCAGAGTGGAGCTGTGCACCACAGGGGCTAACATTTCAGGTCGCTCTGAGGCACCTCAGCCAGGCTCAAACCACCACCATTCAGTTAGCAGCCGAGCGCTTTACCAGTGGTGCATCCAGGGTGGTGTTCAGATACTACAATCCTACAAGCCAATCCTACAAACCCTAGGATTGTAGCTGTTCACAGAAGATAGTGTGGGCATATTAAGATTTGATTTATAAAACGGCAAATCACCCAATACATCTTCCAGCCCCCCAAGGTCTGTGCATAATATGTATGCAGCTCGCTTTATCACTTAATAGTTAACCAGCATGTCCGTGCCATTGCAAATTCCTTGAAAGCACAGTCCTTCATTGCTACCCTTCCCTGGACTGAGTTTGTTTACCGTTTCCTGTGGCTGACCACGTCCTGTGGCCCCCTCACGGAGCCGAGTAAAGGCAGGGTCCCGTTACACAGACTGCATGACTTCGGCGTCCCCCTCCGTGTGGGGTGGCAGGTGGCAGTGCTGCTCAACTTTGGCTGCACCCTCAGCTTACCTGGAGCACCTGGGCGCCACCCAGAAACGAATTCCGATGGGATTATTGTAGGAGGGCAGGCACGGGTTTGTAAAGCTCCCCAGGAGATGGAAGGTGCAGTCAAGGTTGAGAACCACCCCTTGAATGGAAACCATAGGATTGCAAACTGAAGGCAGGCTGTGGCTGCAGCCAGCTTCCCTGCTTGGAAGGCCTCCGGGAATCCAGCCCTGGACGCAGAAGCCCCTGAGATTCCAAGGAGCGAGCCCTGGCTGTGACTTCAGGGGCCGGGATTCTGCTGTCGGCCCTGCTACCTCTGGGCAAGCACTGTTTCCTGTCGGGACCTAAGGCAGCTCTGAAGTAAAGAGGTCGGTCTAGCTGGTTCCTAAGATGCCTTCTCGGCACCACAACTGGGACCCGGCTGGACCCTGCTCTTCCCAGGACTTTGGAGACAGGAGCATAACTCCTCTTGGCAAGGAGAACCCTGCACATCATGGGTGGTGAAAGGCATTGCGAGGAAAACTTGGGGGCTGAAAAGGAGTGGCCGGATTGTCCCGAGGGCCACCCTGTAATGCCGACCCCGTGTGACCCCGTTAGGCTGCACAGAAGGCCGGGATGTCTGCGGAACAAGCCCAAGGGGCTCTGGAGAAGCTTTCCACGCCGAAGGTGAAGCAGCAGCTGAAAGACACCACGGAGGCCGCCTGCAGATACGGGGTGAGGCCCTAACGGCGTCCCACCCCGGTCCTAGGCCTCCTGCAGATGAGGGGTGAGGGCCTAACCGGCGTCCCACCCCGGTCCTAGGCCTCCTGCAGATACGGGGTGAGGGCCTAACCGGCGTCCCACCCCGGTCCTAGGACTCCTGCAGATACAGGGTGAGGCCCTAACCCGCGTCCCACCCCGGTCCTAGGCCTCCTGCAGATACGGGGTGAGGCCCTAACCGGCGTCCCACCCCGGTCCTAGGCCTCCTGCAGATGAGGGGTGAGGGCCTAACCGGGTCCCACCCCCGGTCCTAGGCCGAGGGTCTGCTGGGCCCTCACACGCTGCCCCAGCCCCACTCCCCAGCGCTCCCTGAGCTCCAGGAGAGGAAGGGGAGGAGTGGATGGTGAAGACAGGGTGGAAACCCAACACTGCACGCCAGGACGGCGTCAGGCCTGCAGACTGTGCGGACTCGCAGCCTCAGCCGCAGTAACCATGCGCGCCCTTCGCCCTCTGCCCTCCAGGCCTTCGGGCTGCCGATCACCGTGGCCCACGTGGATGGCCAGACGCACATGATATTCGGCTCAGACCGCATGGAGCTGCTGGCACACGTGCTAGGTAAGGCAAAGGTCACTGCCCAGCCACCCTTGACCTCAGCCCCGCCCCAACCCGCCCGCTGGGCGCGCGTTCCGAGCGTATTGCGGTCTGCAGCCACGCCCCCTCTGGAGGGCGGCCTGCGGGAGGAGGGAGGGGCGGGGCGGCCTTGGCCTCCGCCCGCGGGGAGGGCCGGGACCAGGCGCTCGGGGGAAACTCGGAGTGGGGAGGGGAGCGCCGCGGGAACGGCGTGCAGTGTGCAGAGCCGGTTTCTCGCCGTGCAGGAGAGAAGTGGATGGGCCCGGTGCCGCGGGCCGGCCACGCCAAGCTGTAGCAGTGCGCGGGGCAGCAGCAGCAGCGAGACCTGGGCCTAAAGGCAGGTGCCTGCCTCTGCCCCGCTGCTACCGCCGCAGCCAGCAAGCCTGAGTCCCTGCCTGCTCCATGGCCTTGCGGCCCCGGGCCGTCTCCCTCTCACCCCCGGGTCGCGAGAGGGCTGTGTGGAACGTGCTCTTCCCGGGGACCCCAAAGTCTGCTCCCACAAAATAAACCTCAGCCATTGTGCACTTCCTGGTTGTAGCTGCCCTGTGTCCCCGGTCCGCTCACTCCCAGGTCTTGGGAGAAGCAGCTGGGCTGCGAGGGGGTGCCGGGCGGGGGGCAGTCCCCTCTCACATAGAAACCGCCTGGGCCTATGGGTCAGGGACAGGCAACGAAGGCAAATGGACTGCTGCCACTCACAGTGTGACTGCCTGTCGGACTGGCCAAGTGCCTGGGGTCGGGGGAGGAGTGGGAGAGAGGAAGTGTGGCGGGAACCAGGGCATGGAAGGCTCAGCTGCCCTGACGCCAGTGCCAGGGGCGGGGACTGCTCGCTCTGCCCTGGCCCGTCCCTGCGTGCGGATCCCGAGAAGCCCCCACGCGCCCTGGCCTCTGCCAGCCCCCTGGCTCCCTCCCCCAAGAATCCCTGGGTTCCCTCCTCCTACTGATTCTCCAAAGCCCTGGCCTCCACCTGCGCGACAGTGCAACCAGAGGACCTGTGTTTAAAGGACATGTTGAGCTCCCTGAAGACAAGACTCAGAAGCTGAAGCCACACTGGGGCGCCTGTAGGGACCCAGTGCAGCTCAGAGCTGAGGGGCACTGGGGGTGGGCGCCATCTTGCTCTGCGCACTTCCTCCTGCACGGCTCCAATCCTGCTTCCTCTTGTCTCCCATCACTTTCCTTCCTCTTCTTGGCCCTTATCAGTTACTCCATCAATATCCAGAATTTGCAACATCTTCTCCTGGTTTACATGTGAACTAATGCCAGAGACACATAGTCAAATAAGTTTTCCTTCCTTCGTGTACACCTACTATGTAGTTGCATGCAACCAGTTGATTCCCACTATAGGCACCCTGTAGGACAGAATAGGACTGCCCCCAGAGGGGTTTCCAAGGCTGTCAATCTTGATGACAGAAAAAAAAAAAAGAAATCCAAACTCACTGTCATCTAGTAGGACTCATAGTGGCCCCCCCTTTGGGTTTCCCAGATGAAGAAATAAGTTTTCCTTCGCCAGAGTGGCTGGGGGGTTTGAACCACCAACCTTTTGGTTAGCAGTTAGATGTCTTAAGCATTAAGAACACACTGCCGTGGATAGCCACACCTCCCCTCCTCTGGTGTCCCAGGAAGTTACACTACGGAACACTACGGAAGTAGATTGCCCAACTTTCCTTCCGAGGAGTGGCTGGTGGCTTTGAACCGCCAGCCTTCTGGTTAGCAGTCAGATGCCTTAGGCACTACACCAGCAGAGCTCCTTCTTAGGCCACTGAAGTTACTTTGATGAAAATGATGCCCAAACCATACCCAGTGCTGTGGAGTCCATTCCAGCACACAGCGCCCCTAGAGGACAGAGTGGAACTGCCCACAGGGTCTCCAAGGCTGTCATCTTTAAGGGAGCAGATCACCAGATCTTTTCTCCCACGGTGCCACTGGTGTGTTCGAACCACCAACCTTTCAGTTATGAGTTGAGTGCTTAACTCCTGCACCACTAGGGCTCCACATCTACTATACTATAAAAAAAGACGAGGAACGTTTAGCCTTAAAAATAGAGAAACAAAAACCATCACTGTAGTGTCTTAACTAAAATAAAATGTAACTTCTTGTGCCTGCAAGCTGCGAACAGGGTGAGATGTGGATTGTGTCAGCATTGCGGGTGAAATAAAAACCGTGAACAATATATGAGAGCAAGAGGCTGCTTCATTCAGGTGTGGTACAGCCAGGATGCCGTGTCTCGCGGCCAGCGGAGACTGCATTGGTGGAGTTTTTCAGAACACTGCGAATTCTTAGGCTACCATATTGATTGGAGGAAAGGTGATCCTGTCTGGCATTGGCTTCTGTTCACCTTAGAGTGTCCCATAAAACGGATGAACAGTAAATGTTGGCTGAATCCAAGCGTGACAGCTCACTGTTGATCAGGAAGTGAAGGGCAGGTACTCCTGGTGTGTGGGGGGAGGGTGTAGCAGTCTGAACTGTTATAATTTCTCTTAGAGGGCGAATTTCACTTACAGGAATTTGTCCAATTATTCATGTGAATAAAGACACACAGAAAAGATACTAATTGAAAAATCCTGGCAACAATGGTTATCAGTTGAGGAGTCATTGAATAAATTGATCATTGCTCTGTAAAATAGAAGACTCTGAAAAAGAATAAAAGGTGGAGGAAGTCAGAACAGCTGTTGCCTGTGGGAATTCTTGATGTCTTGGCCAGGGTTTGGGCCGTACAGGTGTCTGCTTCTGTCAACACTCGGAATGGCTTACACAAAATCTGTGTTTCACCATTGGCACATTTCACTTCAAAAGAATCCCGCTACTGACCAAAAGGTCCATGGTTCAAACCCAGCAGCCACTCTGCAGGAGAAAGATGAGGCAGTTTGCATCTGTAAAGATTTATAGCCTTGGAAACTCTATGGGGTAGTTCTACTCTGTTCTAAAGGGCTGCTATGAGTCAGAATTGACTAGAAGGCAGTAGGTTTGCTTTTGTAAACAACTCTAGTTACTCTTCGCATACTCAAGAATTTAAGAAGTGTACGGGAGCTCTGGTAGCATAGTGCCTAAGGCACTTGACTGCTCACCAGAAGGCTGGCGGTTCAAACCCACCAGCCACTCCTCAGAAGGAAGGTTGGGCAATCCTACTTCCGTAGTGATACCGGCCTCGGAAACCCAAGGAGGGGTCGCTATGAGTCGGGGTCGACTCGACGGCAAACAACAACAACAACAACAACAACAACTGAGGTCTGCAGCTTACTTTGGAATCCATTAATATGTGTATTTGTAAAACAAAGAGACTTTGCTAACCAGGAAAATCTTGACTGCATGAAATGGGAAAAGCTGTATATTGTCTTGGGAACTTTTGAGTTCTTGTTATACATGATGCACATTAAAAACCTGGATCGCTTTTTAAAAAAGAAATACACGGAAAAGTAAGATGTGTTGATGGATGGACAAAACGATGGCCACATGGAAGGATATGTGATAAAGCAAATCCAGCGAAATGTGAAATGTGCAATTTAGGTGGTGAGTGCATGGGTATTCACTATAGAATTCTTTCAATCTGCAGCATGTTGTAATAGCTCATAATAAAACGGCTTGTTCATGTTGACCTATGCGGGTGGGTAAGGAACCACCTCTGCATAAACCGTGGGCAGAAAAAGCAACGTACGAAAGAAACTACCTGTGGCATATCTGCGTGTGCACGGAGTGTGTTATAGTCGCATTGCACGGAGGGTACTATTGTGGGCTGAACTGTGTCCCCAAAAAGATATGTTGAAGGCCTACCCCCCACCCCAATCTGACATGTGAACATGACTTTGTCTGAGTCTTTGAGGATATGATCCCTCAGGCTAACATGTCTTTTGTCAGAGGAGACAATAGCAGAGGGAAGACAGCCTGCTGTATGGCACGTAGCCAGAGGTTGGAGTGTTGCTGCCGCTCCAAGCCGAGGAACGCCGGGAGCTCCTAGAAGCCGAGAGATAGGAAAGGATCTCTTCCCTCGAGCCTCAGAGAGAGCAGGGCCCGGCAACCCCTGAATTCGGACTAGAAGGCTGGTGGGGTGTGTGCGTGCGTGTAAGTTACAAAGCACGCTTGAGGGGCGGGGGAGCGGCCCGTGGGGAAGCTGAACTCGGCGCTGATTGGGTGAGGGTGGGAGGAAGCGGAGTCCTGTTCTAGGCGGCTGCGCGGTGGACGCAGGGCCCGGTGGCAGGACGGCGCCCCCTGCCGCTCCCTCGGAGAAGTGCCATGACAACAGGGGACAAGGGCCTTCCCCTCCATAGGCAGGGCCAGAGAGAGCACCCGGGCGGGGAAGCGGTAATAAAATTAGATTACAAGCTGAAGCCCAGAGAGGTGAACTTGTTTACCAGGCCACACAGTTCCTACGAGTGGGACTGAGATGTGAAACCGGGCTTGGCCGTCTCCCGACCATGCGTGCTTACCCGAGGTGCCTCCGCGTTTTCCGTTTAGAGGCACGCTCGTGTACGGCTCTATCACCACTGTCCGTGGACATTTCCGGTCTACACAATGCCTTTCTGTCCCCTGCAACAACCACGCTCCATTTCTCAAATTCCAGAACGGCCTTCAGCGCTGAGTTCCTGAGTCAGCAGCTGTGCGAGCCCCCTGGTTCCCTCGTCTGCCTCGGCCAGCTTTGTACCTTAACCCTCGCCACAGAGGGTGACCACGCACGTTTCTCCCCACACATCTGAGGATGGTGGAAGTTGGAAGCATGCCCATCTCAGAATATCAATGCTACTGACCTTTCGTGTTACCCATTTCCCCGCTGCCCTAAGCGTTTGGAGGAGCTGTCATAAGGCAAGTGGGATGGACTGAATTGTGTTCCCCCGAAGATGTGTGTTGGAATTCCAACCTCTGACCTGTGGCTGCACCGAGGCCTTATCAGTGTAGGGTGTGTGCTAACCTCACTGCTGGGATCTAAGGCAGCGTAGACAGGGACAAGCAAGGACCAAAGGGAAGAGGCTCACCATGGAATTGGAGGGGTGCTGGCAGAGACAAGGATCTTCCCCCACAGCCAGTGCCCTGGGTCCGAACCTGCAGCCTGCTGAACTGAGAAAACACAGTGCTGTTTGCAAAGCCACTCACTTGTGCTGGGAAAGCAAGGCAGCAGCTAACAGGGGGGATGCACACAGGGCTGCGTTAAAAGACCCAGGTTCCGGGCCTGGTTCCCGCTGAACACACCCTTACCTTCTTTGATTGACACATGGCTGCAGCAGTGGGGTCACAAAGCAACACTCATGAGATGAGGATGGTGCAGACCGGGCAGCATTCCATTCTGTTGTACGCAGGGTCACTGTGAGTCGGGACTGACCCCACAGCACCTAGCAACAACAGAATGAAAACAACAACCAGACTATGCCACACTACTACTGTCCATCATCAAACCGGAGTGTATGTGCAGGCCAAACCATCCCTTTCCACACGCAAATTAACAAGCACCACCATTCTCTCAGAAGTCACCTGCACCTTGGGCTTCTATGATCACCCAGTTCAAAGGGTTATCTTTTATAATGCGTCTTCACTGGGTCATAATAGACAAGCATCTTACAGAGCCTACAGTCCTAATTCCCAACCTTGAATGCTGATAATCTTTATTTTATCTTCTCTGTGGCTGCCCTTGCTATTTGAAGACCAGGCTTTTCTTAAGATGCATTCAATGGGTGATAAGACCATCTACCCACTCCTTGGGATCATCAGAGTGATCACCTCAGAATGTCCTAGGTATTCTGCTAGTCTCATGACTAGGGCAGCCAACAAGGGTGGGTAGGACCCACTGGCGGCCTGGCTATGACTCAGCGTCCTATGACCACTCTGCTGGACTTGGTTAGTATGCTCAGATCTCAACTCTACACTTTATCAGTCAAGCATTTCCTCAAGCCTTTCACCTCTTTGAGCCTGCCGTCTCACCTGTGAAATGGACAAAAGACCGGTCCTACCTCCTGCTGTATTATCAGCACTTTAACTATGTTAAATGGCACAGTTGGGGTCAAGTATGCAGCACAGGGAACAGCACACAAAACACCAGCGCTGCAGTGGTTTGAACCCGCCAGCAGCTCAATGGGAGAAACATGAGGCTAGTCAGTTTCCATAAGGATTTAGAAACCCTATGAGGCTCTGCCCTATAGGGTCGCTGTGAGTCAGAATCAATTCAATGGTAATGGGCTTAGTTGGGCTGGCCAGCCAAAAGGATTGCAAAACTTGCTGCTAATGCAAATAAGGTGTATGGAAACCTTATGGGAGTGAGACTATGCAAATACAGGTCTGGGACCATAATGAGGGGATTAGTCAGTCTTGGCATCTTGATGAGAAGCCAGTTCCAGAAGTGAGGGGGACCCTCACTACCACCAAAGAAGACCAGGAGTGGAGTGTGTCCTTTGGGACTGGAGTCCCTGTGCTAAGAACTTCCCAGACCCAGGAGACAGACAGTTGTAACAGAGAGAGCTGGTGTGAGACAGGGAGAAGCAGTGGCAAGGGCAGCAGAGAGACGCCAGCAGCAGCCGTAGAAGACTAGCATGAGACAGTGCAGGGGGCTTCCTGGGCCACAGAGCAAAGTGGCTGCAGTGGACATGCCGACCTACCACGTGTGACCTGAGCACTTTGGGCAGGAAGCTTGCTGGCAGAGTGGGGTGCCTCCAGGCTCTGCACAGACAGAGCTAAAGAGCGTTGGATCACTTGATGAAGTGGGGCAAAGCCTGGGCTGAGAGGCAAGGGCTGGGAGAGGAGCCTGTCTTCAGGGGGCCAAGATGAGCCCGCATGGCAGAGGGGAGCTGAGAGCTGTCCTCCACTGAAGAAGGGCGACTTTGCCTGTGTGGTCTCTGCTCCTGATCCCAAGTTGTACCCCGTTTTTTCCTTAATCAACTACTTACGTGTACACGTGGTCTGTGGGTTCTGTGGCCATTGCAGTGGATTAGGGAACCCAGCAGAGAAGTACTCATAGCAATCAGCCTTGGGGCGGAGATGCTGATCACAATTCACCCTCCTTATGAAGTCAGGGGAGGTGAGATGCTGTGGCGTCATTCTTACAACCAGGTACATACACCCACTGGGACAGACCTGCAGATGGTGGGCAATTCACAGGAGGGGCTGGACAGCCTGCCTGGGACCGGGCAGTGAAGCAGGATGCAGCAAGCCTCCACACATGGCCGCTCTGCACTGAGATGGGAAGAGATTAAAGACTACATGGCCTCGGCTCCTACGGGGGATTCGGGGCCAGAATACGTCACTACTCAACACAAGGCAACCTGCCCTGGGCTGTCAGGAAATGCCGTGTGCACTGGGAGGGAAAGCTTCCTTCTAGTTCTGGTCCCTGGTACAAAGATCACGGGTGTGGGGGAGAAGGGAGCTCATTAAGGCACCCGGGTGGGGGTGGGCGCGGCACGGAGCAAGCAATACCCAGAAAAATTCAGTGAGGGCACGGAGGTCGGCCGAAGGGGCGGAGCCAGCCGGCAGGAGCGCAGGGATTGGCGGACACCAGGTGGGCGGGCCCCGGCTGCACCCCGCCCTCTTCAGCTCGGGAGCCTGGTGCGCACAGGTGAGGGAGGCTCCGAGCCAGGGCCCGGCGGGGGAGTCCGCAGCAGGTGCGGCGGCTGGCCACACACAGTGCGGGGGACTCCGACGGGCTGTGGGTCCAGGATGTGGACAGCCACCTTCTCACAGCTTGAGGATACTGGAGTGACCCTGGCCAACGCATTCCGGTCCGGTGGATTCCGACTCACAGAGACCCTATAGGACAGAGTAGAACTGCCCCATAAGGTTTTCCAGGCTGTGAACTTTACAGAAGCCAACCGCCACATCTTTCTCCTGTGGAACGGCTGGAGAGTTCGAACCGCTGATCTTCCTGTTGGCAGCGGAGCCCCGTAACCACTGGCCAACAAGCTCCTTAGCAGCCTTGGCAGGAGGCCAGAGATCTGGGTTTGCCATCAGGGGCTGGCGGAGGGTGGGGGTCTTGGCGTCAGCCTATTGGGTGCTGAGGAAACGGGCATTATCTACGCCTCTGCGGGCCCGTGCTGTCCAGGTACACTTTGTCCATTCCCTGGGGCAGGGGCTGACAGTGGAGGAATGGGAAGACGGGCTCTGACTGGTGACAGAGCTGAGGGCCTCTGGGGAGGTGGGTAAGGCTCAGCAGTCATTCCAGACATGCCTTGTGCACCGGGGCCCGGGGCTCCTGGACCCAGTCTAGGTGGTGAGGGCTGGAGCTGGAAGTGGACCGCGGGGAAAAAGAAGCAGGACTGCGCAGGGCCCGGATGCTGGAAATGCGTGAGGGCTGGGAGCCAGCACTCCTGGGCCACTTTCCCAGCTGTTCCACCAGAACCAAGACCGTGGGACAACAGTGTGGTCCTTGAGGCGGTCCCTGTGCTGAAAGGGACCCCACCGAGCATTTATATTCACCACTGATTTGACTGGAGAATGGAGACCCCAGGACCCAGACCAACAGGGCTCGGGGGACACCTCGGGGTTTGCATGCCACACGGTGTGTGCAGAGAGCTGTGTCTTTCGCAGGAGCCGGGACCATGGTGCCCAGCCCGAGGTGGGGGCGCCTGAAGCCACTCCTCTTCCTGTGCTGCGTTGCCATCCTCCTGGGGCTGGCCCTGCTGGGCATCTGGCCGGACACCGCCCCTGTGGCCTACTTCTTTCTCACAGGGGCTGGCCTCCTCTTGTTGGCCTGCCTTTTTGTCTGCCTGTTGGAGTGGAGGCTCTACCCAACACAGGCCGAGAGCCCAGAGACCACAGGCAGTGGTCGGTAAGTGAAGGGTGGCGCGGCAAGAGGACTGCTGGGCCCCTCAGGCAGGCTCTGCTCTCCTCTGCCCTAGAATTGGTGAGCTAAGGGGTCAGGGGTGGTGGACACATACAGGATGGGGAAAAGAGCTCCTTTCAGAAAGCCACCAGGGTCTTATTCTCCCCCATCAGAGACAACGAAGGCTTTGAGGTGCCGACCTATGAGTCAACCATGGCGTTGGGGCCACAGTGCTGTCCTCGGGAGCCGGACGACCCACCGCCCTACAGCATCGTGATCCCTGTAGGACTGGAGGAGGGCGACCCAAGCCACCCCGAGGAGCCCAGGAGAGTGAGACTGGAGAGGCGAGGGGGCTCAGAGGGGTCCATAACCCAGGGAGAAGACCCCAGAAGGGCCCCAGCCAGCCTGCGACTTCGCGGACCACGGGCCGTATCGACTGAGCCTGACCTGCGTAGCTTGGCATTGGCTCCCCAGATGGAACCTCTTACTCCTCCCCCAGCCTACGAGGCCAGCCTAGGTTACCCGGATGACGGCAGTGTTTTCTACGAGGACAACTGGACCCCACCCTAAGCCCCTAACCCAGGGTGTACCATCTCCCTGCTGGGACCCATGTGTCAGGACCAGCATTCCCAGCGCCTGCCATCACATGGTAGTGCTGCCTGGGCACGGAAGGGCAGGCCTCGTGCACTGCCCGGCTCAGACCCTACCCCAGATCAGCCACCCCCGGAGTCTGACTGAGGGTGCGGTGGAAAGGGGTGCAGAGAAGCTGGAAAAGGAAGGCAGGGACTTCTACTAGGTCACCTGGTCCTCCGTCCTGAGGTGCTATTCCAGGGGTCAGAGAGGCTGGGTAACTTGTCCAAGGGCGCACTGCCTGCAACGGGTCTCAAGTCACTTGCTGCCAGGCTTTCAGCCTGGGCCCCCGCGG